TGCACGGTTCAGGGCACGGCCAGGCCTCGCAGCCTTGAGGCCGGCCTCTGCCCCACCGGTATAAAGAACCGGTCCAGCCTCAGTCGAAGGGATCGACCTACCGGCACTCTACCGGTACGGTATGGTACAGCGCACATTAGCGCTGACGCTATTTTTAGCGCAGGAGCAGCGAGGAGCAGCGCAGCGCAGCATTAGCACAGCAGCGGCGAGCGGAGCAGCAGCAGGGTGACTGAGCCAGACCGGCGGCCATCGCCGCCTGAGGTATCAGGGAGCCGGAGGTTCTCTCCTCCCTCCCATCGTCAGTCCCCTCTCTCTCTCTCTCTCTCCTCCTCGGCTCCTCCTCCTTCTTCTTCTTCTTCTTCTTCTTCTTCTTCTTCTTCTTCTTCCTCTTCTCTTCAGACTCCATCTTCTTCTTCTTCCTCTTCTTCTTCTTCTTCAGATTGGAGACTTATACTAGTTGGACAGAGATCAGTGTTGGACTTCGGTGGTATGAGACTGTGGTACTTACCGGACTGGAGACTTGGAGATTGTTGGGGTTGATACTTAGCGCATCACAGTTCGGACACCGGTTACATTTGGACTCTGTATCTCCGACATTGGTGACTGATTGTCCTCAACATTTTGATCTTGTTGGATGACATTTTGGACTACCATATCGGTGACCTATCGGATTCTATTTCGGTGACCTACCGGTGCTGTCTACCTCCCCCACCTCCTTCGTCTCTCCTCCCACCTTTCATCTGTGTATGAAAGTAAGGGATCTGGGCATCGTCCATGCTTGGCCCAGACCCCACCATCTCACGATTGTATGTGTGTGGAGTGATTCTTGAGTCAGTCTATGTGAGTCAGTCCGTTTATCAGACTTCCGCTGCATACATGCTCATCCTACATTGGTTGATCTTTGGTTCTGCCCATACTCATCGAAGTATGTAACAGTTTTGGTATCAGAGCAGACCAATTACGGATCTGCTCACCGGGTAAGACTGATTTAGGAATTAGATTGTTCTTCAATCTTCCAAATCAGCGCTGAATTACTATCAAGTTCAAAGTTGCAAAAAAAAAATTCTTTTTTCGGTATTCTGTTTATTTCGGCACTTCCGTTTCAATTCAGTATTCGGACTTATTATTCGGATTTCTGTTTTCACCGGTATGCTGTTTTATTAGGTTCCAATAAATTGATACTAATCCAACATTCTGTTTGATTCGGATTTCTGGTTAGTAATTCGTAATTAGGGTTAAATCAGTTTTCGGTTGATTTCGGCATTCTGATTTCTTTCGGTATTCCATTTTTATTTCGGCATCCTGATTTTTAATCCGGTATTTCGTTTTACAAATCGGCATTTCCGTTTTACCGCAGTCGTGGAAATTAGGGTTACGCAATCTTTGGTTTTAGATCAACTTGGGGAATTCGAACGTTTTGGGGACCGTAAATTCGGAAATTCCGCCGAAACGCGAAAAATTAGGTTTGGGACCGAAATTTTCGCGAAATTTTCTTTCGTTCCCCTTGTTTGTCGATGGCCTACGTGCATGCGGATCCCAACCTCACGTTCGTAGTTACTACGGACGCGAGCCAGTTTGGGATTGGTGCAGTATTGCAACAAGATGATGGCGATGGCCTACGTCCGCTTGAGTACTACAGCAAACGCATGCCCAGCCACAAGGTAGCCACTTCCACATACATGCGAGAGCTCTACGCCTTGCGCGAGGCGCTCACGCATTGGAAGCACTACCTCTTGGGTCGCCACTTCAAGGTCTATTCAGATCACCAGACCTTGCAGTGGATTAAGACACAAACTGATCTTTCTCCTACGCTGACCCGCTGGTTGCATGATATTGATGTTGTCAACTTTGATTTGAAGCATAAGAAAGGCTGCTATAATCGCGTTGCTGATGCTCTATCCCGCCATCCCGAGTACTTGACTTGCCTGGTGGATTCA